AAGATCATTGGGAGTCAGGGAGGGATAACCCCTTTAAGCTTTGTGTAGAGCTTTATTGAGCATCAGGAGGGAAGCTAGAAGTGCTTCTGTGCAGGAGATGGCACCCTGTACCCTTCAGCATCAGCTGTCATTCTAACTGAATCTCTACTAGTTTCCATATCTACAAGCCAGCAAAATGACAATTCCCAAAATAATCTTCTGTAGGGCCAAGAAAAGGATCCTGGCAATGATCTGTTTTTGTTTGACAATGCTGGGGCTCACAGAGTGACATCTCCCTGAATATGGAATTTTCCCCCTGCTGCAGAATTTGATCAAAAGAAAATGAAAATGCCTTAAGAGCAAGCTCAGCCTTGCGGGGCTCTTCCTGGAATTTCCTCATTTGCACTGAGTAGATTGAAAAGGAACACAAGTGTTTCCCTCTCCATCCTGAGCCTCCCTGTCTATCTGGGTCCAGTCAGTTGGAGAGTTTCCCCACTCCCAGACAGACTTTCCTAGTAAGATACTGTTTATTCCTTGGGCTCCCTCAAATTCCAGTGACTGTCTTTAGGACCAGTTGTTTGCCTGGGCATCATGCAGGCCCCTTAAATTTGTCTACAACTCTCCTTTCCCTCTCTACTAGAGAAAAGGGCCAAAGAAGTTTCTGGATCACTTTGGACTTGTGGGTAATTACACTGTGTGACTGTTTTCTCCAATTTGTTTGTCTTGCCACTTTAGTCCAGTTGACCTTCAGAGAGTGATGGAAATTTTTTTTTTTTACCCCTACAGCAAGGCAGGCCCCCAAGACCCCAGTGCTGAGCCATTTCTAAATGACAGGAATCACAGGGAAAGGTTACTATAGAATCTTAGGGAGTTCATTCAGATTTCCACAGACAACAGCATTTAGGAAAAGGGGTAATGAATTAAAACCCCCTTCTGTGCCTAAAAAATAAGGCCTGAGTTTGGGATCCTGAAATCATGAAGCTCAGGCTGAATTCTTCCCACTAACCAACTAAAGCATTCTGGACAGCTCAGATAAAATTTCTCCTTCCTCTTTTCCTCCCTCCCTCCCTCCCTCCCTCCCTCCCTCCCTCCCTCCCTCCTCCCTTCCTCCCTTCCCTCACTCTCTCCCTTCCCTTTCCCTCCCCCTCCCCCTCTCTCCCCTCCCCCTCTCCCTCTCTTCTCACCTTCTCTGACCCTCTTGCCTCCTCATCCTTCTCTCCTTCTTCATGATTTTTGTGAACTTAACCTAAATGGTACCTCTTCCTGGGAATAGTAATCAGAGTTTTCAGATATGGCAGCTCAATGCTATTCCCCCCCTTAATTTGTCTAGAAATGGGCAAATAGAATGTTCTCAGAATTATCAGTGAGAAACACTTTTTGATCTTAAAAAAACTGCCATGAATTGACCCTCTCAGGAAAGAATTCCTGAAATGCAAGAAGGAAAGCAGTGACCCCATGGACGAGCCTGTCCCCATCTACATGGGGCAGAGCCCCTTGCTAAATCTGTGAGATCTTTTGGAGAAGCACCATCAACTCCGTAACTCCCTGGCCCTTTCAGGAAGACACAGTCCAGGGATGCAGTTTCCAGTGGATGTAGGACCTGAGGGCCCACATGCACACTACTGGCTATGGCTTCCTAGTCATTTTCACCCCTTACAGTCTTGCAGAAAGATCTAAATTTGAGATGTTGGTGCTGGCTCTAACAATTCAATGACCAGTGGATAAATTAATCTAGAAATATTTATGGATCACTTATGTGCTTACTGCCTATAAACCCTCCCTGTAGACACTGCATTTATTAAGGAACTGGCTTTGCTACTCAGAACCATGGTTCCTCACCATGAAACCCTCCTCTGGACTGAGCACATTGATAGCATGAGTTAAAATCCACTATAGGGACTGGAGAGACGGCTCTGTAGAGCAAAACGCTTACCATGCAAGTGTGAAGACATGAATTAGGGTCTCTAGAATCCACATAAAAGCCAGACAAGGTATTATGCGTCTGTAACCGCCACTCTGCTCTGGTGAAATGGGAGGTAGAGACAGGAGAATCCTTGGAAACTTGAGGGCCAGGCAGCCTGGCCTATGTGGTGGGGAAGAAAAAGAGAACCTGACTCAGACAAGGTTGAGGACCAACAGCTAAGGTTGTCTTAACCTCTAAATGTATACCCACACCCACATACAGGCATGCATAACACATTCACTTGCACACACACACACACACACACACACACACACACACACACACACACACACAATGTATTTGCATTTTACCGGCAGGGAAAACTTTACTATTGAGGTCCATGTAATAGGGAAATTGATCTTTTGAAATGACCGTGGGAGAACAGTAGCCATCCTTTTGCATACCTTAGTGTAGCTGATGGGCAGTGTCCTGTTGAGCTGGGCTCAGCCCAGCTGAGAGCTTGCACTGTTATTTAGATTTGGGGCCTCTGTGGACCCTCAGCTCCTACATCCCCTGGAAACTGCATCCCTGGACTGTGTCTTCCTGAAAGGGTCGTGGAGTTATGGAGTTTGGGGTGATTTTCCAACAGATCTCACAGCTGAGATGAGATCTATATGAGAACTACAACGATAACTATGTTACAGTCATCAACCAAAACATGGAGGAAACCAGAGCTTTTTTTTTTTTCTTTCATTGCCCCAGGCAAATGAGGCCTACAGCACCTCACAGAGTAGAAGGTGAGATCAGTTAAGGGTTAAAATGAATACTCCTGGGGCTGAAGTAAGGGCATTTCTATAGATAGAGGAGACGTTGGAGAACAGTTGGATGTCAGAGACAGCACTTACTGAAGAAAGGAGTCATTCACATCTGAGGGAACACAGGAGGTTGGCAGGCACAAATACTCAGGACAGAAATTGCCGTATTTTGTTCTGGTGTGAGACCCGTTCTGGCCCCTGCTTGAAGCTGGAGTGTTCTGACTGCTCCGTTATCCTCTGGTTTCCTCTTCTGAGAGCTGCATGCAGCTGGACCACAGGGAAGGAAGGCCCCAGAGGTGCCCATCCTCTCCCTGCTTCTAGACCTGGGTGGACTGCAACCTAACTGTTTTTCTCTAAATAACAGTGCAAGCTCTCAGGGGGGCAAAGCCCAGCTCAACAGGACACTGCCCGTCAGCTGTACGAAGATATGTAAAAGGATGGCTGCTGTTCTCCTACAGTCATTTCAAAAGCGCAATTTCCCTGTTACATGGACGTCAATAGTGAGGCTTCCCCTGATGGTAAAATGCAAACCACTCAGCTGCTCAAGGCAGAGTTAAAATATTCTGCGAAGATAGTCCTTTCAGAGCAGGCAGGACCCTGCGGAGATCAATTTGTGAGCACAGAACCACAGGACAAGACAGGTGCATTGCCACCAATTCACCGCCCTGAAAGGAGTATTTTACTATTCTGTTTCCTTCCACAATACTCTTTTGGCCACTCATTTTAATACGTGGCTGTGGGGAATAAAAGAATTCGAGGCAGAATCCAAGAGGGCACTGTGGGATTTCACTAGTTTTCTATCGAAGCATCTGGAACATCATTTCTTTTGCACTTGCATTTTGCTTGAGCAGAATATCTTGGTTTCCCAGCGGTAGCTGTAAGGTTTGTTAATCAAATGAATCCCAGTCTTAGCAGGGGACTCTGCTCAGCCTGTGACAGCCTGGCCTTTGGGGACAGTTTCTGCCCCTGTTAGCCAAGTCTCCCTCATAGTGTTCCCCCCCGCCCCACTTATTTAAAACTCCATACTTAACGTTTGGTTTCTTTAGTCTTAATCCCGTGAGCTAACAGGTGTTCAAAAGGAATCGACACATCTGCTTTCTGGGAACACTCGACTTCTCCTATCAACGTTCACTGCTAGTTTTAAACTCGACAGTTCGGGAACAAGCTGGAAAGCCAACGTTGTGGTTTATGCAAAGCCACCTTGTGACTCCACCTGCTGCTACTGAACCTGTTTGTGAGTGTGAGTGTGAGTGCATGCTCAAGGGGTGGGCTGTAAAAATGTGTGTCTCTAAGTGCCTACATATCTGTCCGTTTCTGTCTGTAAGAGCTTGTATCTGATGAGTGGGTTTAGGAGGGCATGTATTTATTTGCATATGTTTATGATTCTTTGTGTGTGTGTGTGTGTGTGTGTGTGTGTGTGTGTGTGTGTGACCAAAAGGGCTGATAGATGTGTGTGTGATGTTCCTGTGAATGTATATATGATTATAAGTGTATATACACTGGGTACAATAACTATGAGTGTGTTTGAGATAGCACCAAGGTATGCACATATATGTAGCGGCCTGTGTAAGTACAAATTCGTGGGTTTGCATTTTTGAGAAGTATATACAGTGAGTGTATTTTTGTAGTTGTGAATGTGTATCTGTGTGCATAGGGGTGTGTTATTCGAGACTGTATGTTATACTCGTATGTGTATGACTGTGAACATTGGGTGAAAGAGTATTTGCTGATTTATGTTGTGAGTGCACGCACACTCGCTTGTGCGCGTGTGCCTATTGTATTTGTGTGCATGTGTGCTTTTGTGTATGAATATGAACGTTGTGTGTTTCTGTGCGGGTCTGGTCTCTTCAGTATGCGTTTGCCTGTGTGTGTGTGGGGGGGACACATTTGCGCGAGTTTCTGCTGTGAGCGGCTGGGTGTCACCACGCTCCTGCCCCTCCTGGGCGATCTGCCCCATCGGGGGTTGGCCTGGGCAGAGGCGGAGGCCAGGGTCCTGGCAGGCGAGTGAAGGATGCGCGCTGGGGAGAGCCGGCAGCGCCTCCGCGGCCGCCACCGAGCCGACTTTACCCTTTAAATCGGTCTCCAAGCCGATTACAGCTGATCTCCCACGTGACGTTTTACCTTCTGTCTCCCGGAGCGCGTTGCCCGAGGACAGTCCTCCGGCTGCCGCGCGCCTCACTGCGCAGCCCGCCGCTGGGGGCTCGGCTCCCGCAACTTCGGGTGGAGCGGCGCGGGTGCGGGTGCCCTCGGAGGGCCGCTCGGCACCGGGCTTCCGGGGATCGGGAGGCGTCGGGGGCCCGAGAGGGCGCGGTCGGGGAGGAGACGATGCCCCAGCCTGGATCAGCGGCGCACTAGGTCTGGGCGGCGGGCCGGGTGCCCTGTGGCAGGCGGGCTGGGGTGCGTCCTCCCGGAGAGCACTCGGCGATGGCCCCGCCGCGGGGCTGAGGCTGCGACCCCAACACCCCTCGCGCCCTCGCCATGCAGAAAAGCGTGCGCTACAACGAGGGGCACGCCCTGTACCTGGCCTTCCTGGCGCGCAAGGAGGGCACCAAGCGCGGCTTCCTGAGCAAGAAGGCGGCCGAGGCGAGCCGCTGGCACGAGAAGTGGTTCGCTCTCTACCAGAATGTGCTCTTTTACTTCGAGGGCGAGCAGAGCGGCCGCCCGGCGGGCATGTACCTCCTGGAGGGCTGCAGCTGCGAACGGACGCCCGCACCACCCCGGACCAGCGCGGGACCCGCAGGCGCCCGGGACGCGCTGGACAAGCAGGTACTGCGCACCCTCCTTTCCCTGGCTCCCAGCCCCAGGCGACTCTCTCCGCTTCACGGTGGTGCTGCGTGGACAGCGCAGGGGCAGTGCCCTGAGACCCCAGGGCAACGCATGTCCCCGTGAGCGAGCAGATTCCCCCATCTCCACTCCTTGACCCCGCCGCCTAGGGATCAGCTGCGTTAGGGACCAGGCTGGTTTTGTTTTTGTTTTTCACAATCCTCTTAGAGGTCGGATTCTTTCAGTTTCTTGCTAACTGCTCCATGCTGCTCTAGATCACATTCAGAAAGATGTGTGGCTGTGACGACGTGTGTTGACACCTGTTGCATTTAGATTGGCGAGACCGAACTAGCTTATTTGGAAAGTTTGGTTTCTTTTTATTTTTTCTTTAAAAAAAAAAAAAACAAAAACAAAAAAAAAACAAAACTTGCTTGAGACAGAGTTCTTGACCTACAAGTGATGGCTCACTCGTGGTGCTGGGAACCAATCAGGCCACCAAGAAAGGCACTTCTGTTGGTCCTTGTCAATCAGGCTTTGCAGTTTAGGTCACTTTCCCTTGCGAACATTTGACCACTGAGGTCAGTCATGAAGACACATGTGTACCTGTCTCCCGAGGATTAGTATTTGTCCCTGAGTTCTTGCTATGTTTAAAAAACGTGGGCATTTTAAAAAAGAACACTCTGTACTTTAAAGTAAATGCGACCTTTTAGTCGTAGGTCGTAATTTTAATGGGTTTTGTTGTATGCTCAAGGCGTGGGGGAGGCACTAGGTTAACCTCTGAATCCCCATTCTTGCAAATAAGAAACATATTGATTCCAAATGCCATTCATTTATTAAGGATTTTACTCAGCCAGAATGTTCTTGATTTGCTTCTCTATCCCCTACCTTGGAAGAAGGAGAAGCTGTGTGTGGGGTGGGGGTGGGGGGACTGATTGCCTTTGTTGTTGCAGAAATTTTTTTCTAGGCTGAATTTTCTGTGCAAGTTAGACTAGATTGAATCTGCTGCAAAGCCCCGAGGCTGCGCCAGACATCAGAGTGGTGCCTCGGATGGCCGCCCAATTTTTCTGCTCTCTTGAAACAAAACTTAGAACTCAGAGCTCTGAGTTGAAACGACACCAGGCACAAGATTGGTTTTTATTTTCACTGTAAATCATTAACTTCGGTAAATGATAGTGATTAAACACATTAGAAGAGCTAGGAATTCGAAATGAAAAGGATGCCCTTGACTTTTGAAGGCGCTTTCAGTCATTTGAGAAACTAGTTTCTAAGCCGGCAGATATAGGTATTAGAAATGGAGAAAATCCAAGTTGTGAAGTCTGGAATCTAAAAAGAGTTTTGAGGAAACTGATTTTTTTTTAAAGCGCGTGCGTGAGTGAGTGAGTGTGTGTGTGTGTGTGTGTGTGTGTGTGTGTGTGTGTGTGTGTGTGTTGAATAGTAAGTGTTAGAAGACCCACAAGAATCTCCCCAAACGGATTTTAAGTGCTATTATGTCTGAAATCAAAGAGGATCCTTTAAAATAGTTTGAACACACATCACTGACTTGACTCCAAACCATTTGTTCCCTTTGTATTTCTTCTTAAGTTCACAAGTCACCACTTCTTGGTTACTCAGGAGCGGAGTTCAGAGAACTCTTAAAGTGTTTGTAGCTCAGACCCGCTAACACTGTATGTAAAGCGTGGTTTCGGTGCTGGAAAAGGTCTGAAGTTCATCTTCAGGACGGTTGTCTTTAAGCCAGACTCTAACAGAGAATTGAAAGGCCTGAGTAGTTGGAATTCTAGACAGGTCATCATATGCAAGATTTTTCTCTTTACCATCAAGTGAGTTATGGGTGCTCATCATCTTATGCAAATTTGGGAGGTTGGGAATTGGGACCTTTGGGGTTTGTAGATAAAACTGAGATGTGATGATGCAAGCATTCCAGAAAGGATTTGAAGATGGTCTTGGAGAGTTTTGAAATTTTGCTGTATGTTGGGAACACTGTTTGACTCTGGTTAGCCTAAGTGAGCAATGCTTTTCTGGAACACTGCTACCTAGAGGTGATTGAAGAATTAAGAAGAGACACTATGGGATAAGAGAAAAGGAGAAGCCTCCCATCTGAGTGTCTAGTATGTGCAATTGGGAATAAGAAACAAGGAGAAACATCCCGTCTAAGGGTAGTATGTGCAGTTGACCTCCCTCCAGCTAATTCCTACTTCCCAAATGCCGTTGATCATCTGTTTCTAAGGCTATAAAAACAGGGCAACATTTTTGCCATGTAGAGAACGCGAACAGCAAACACACAGAAATAAACACTGCATTTGAAAAGCTAAGGACAAAGATGATCGAAATGGGCATTCTGAGACTCAGGTCAGCAGCCACACAAACCTACCAGGAGCGCTCTCCGCCCAGCCAGTGGCGTGGCTCTTCTCACTCACAGAGGTGGAATCCGGTGTCTTTGGTTGGTTGATACAGCAGTGATCCCGTTCTTGAGGTAAACCACCTCTAATTGTTGAGTTAGTTAAGTGTCTTTATCGCTAAGCCATAAGAAGAGATACCCTTGGTTTTTGTTATCCAAATAATATTTCAAATTAAGTGCATTGACAGAAAAAAAAGGGGAGAAAAGAAAAAATTCAGAAAATGGACCAAAACATAAACCTTGAATTTTTCTTTTATTTTTGTCAATAAGCTCATTTTCCAAATATGCCCAGGCTGAAGGAATATTTGTGCTGCTCTGTTGAGTTCATGGTGTTCCAGGATTTTTCTCTGGTATGTTCCTGGGCTATTGCTAGACTGTCTTACCAGCATTCCCACAGTGGCTATTTCTTTAGAACAGTAAAGATGATATAATCAAATGAATTTGTTTAAAAATGCTTGAAGTGATTCATTGCCTTCAAAAGAATGTTTCTTTTTTCAAATATGTATCTGGTTGTACTTTGTCCTCAGTAAGCTCCATTTAGGGCAAGTGAAAAACTCCCCTCTTTAGTGAGCATGTTCTGTGCGCTCTGCTCTGAAGTGGGACCGTCCACCGTCTTGCTAACTCGGCATTCTCGTCAGCTCCTGGAGACGTCCTCCTCTTCTTCCGTCTCTTTACTTTCATTTTAACCTGTGCTAACTCAGGCTTCTAGAGAGCTAAAGTCCACCTCCAGAGAAGAAGGCTAACCATGCTGTAGAGTGCTTTGCTGGAGAGGCTGTATTTAAATCCACTGAGCTCAAATTAACAAACAAACAAACCGAGACAAAAATCTGCATGAGCTAGGAGTTGGGGTATAATGTGTGAACCACTGGTTCATTCTTATTTAAAAACTAGTCAAAATATTATTGCTGAGTCTTGAGAAACACAACCACAGGCCATCACACGCTCACAGAAAAGTGGCATTTTATGTGACATTCCTTCACTTCAGTGGAGAGAGCTTTGTGAGTGTTTGCACTTAGGGTCAGAGTACACTGCCCAGCTACTCTGCTCTACTTAAGTAGCCATATGCATCTTGCCTGAAGCAGGAGAGATGTATAGTCACGAGACTGTCTTTCTTCTTCATCATCTGCCCTTGTATTCAGCCTAGTTTCCTTTTCTTGGAGCAGGGTGGGTGGGGGATGGGTATCCTCGGCCCCAGAGGCATAAAGAATTATACATGCTTGTCATATTTGTGCTGATTTAATCTTAAAGGGGTTACAGGTTCCGGGATAGCTCTGTCACCTCATTACTAGACAGACATTTAAACCTCCCTAACTTGACCACAAGGCAGGGATTTCTCAGCATTTTATTGAATTAGGTGGAAGTGCATGCAAACTCTGAACTGTTTGTAGAGTGCAGAGACTGTGGAGGGGGATTTTCATTCTAGGTCATGGTATTGAACAGAGGTATAACAGCCAACTCCATAGTTTCTTTTCCATTTTTGCTTACTGAACACAAACAAAGGGAAAATGCAAAAAAAGTGTTTGCTAACTCATAAAATGTTCACAAATATAAGCAGGGGACAGGGATGATTTCTTACTTGAACTTTTAAAATATTTTTTCATTAAAGTTAAGTAAAAAAAAGGAACTTGTAGATTCAAAAAAGTTAGTTATTTAATTCTGGCTACTTTAGTATTTAGATTATTGTGATTAGTGTTGAGGATACAACACAGGAAAACTCATCTTTGGGGTATTAGCTGTGTGTAAAAGGCCTTTGTCCTGTGAGCTGCATTGGCCTGTGGGTTTTAATCAGTGATGGATTCACACCATGGAAAGGTAGAAAGGAAGCATTTGTAGTGTGACAGTGTTTTCTCTTTATATTTTGTTCCAAGAGATGAAGTTAATAACGACTGTGTTGAACTGTGTTGTCTGTCTAATGCAGACTATATTTTCCAGTAGATTTTTGTCCCTCTTGACCAAAACTGCTTAAATATTCATACTATAGTAAGTATAATTTTAAATGTTATAGAATAGAAAAAGTTAGTTTTTAAAAGACATTTTGTGATTAAATAAATCGGATTATCAAGTTGTCTTTACTCAGGTCTTAAATCCTAATTTTCACAATTTTATGCCTGTTTATTTCTCCTTTAAGAAAGGGATATATACACGTTTATATATGTTCCTGTTGACTACTGAATATTAATTGTTTGTTATACATATATATGTATAATTTCATTTGTACCAGTGACACTTAAAGATGTGAATTAGAGAGCCAGCCTATAATCCCAGCACTTGGGAGACTGAGGCAGGAGGATTGCGGTGAGCTCAAAGCCAGCCTTGATTATAGAGTGAGCCTCTGTTTCAAAAAGTTAAAAATATGAGAGTTACAGATCCACTCTGCCTGAGTGTGGGAAGCGTTATTTTCTATGTGGTAAGTGAAAAATCACAGAAAAACTCTTCTCTGAAACTAAGTTACCTAAACTCAAGCCTGTAAATAGCAGTGCATTGCATTATGACCTTTCTATCAGTGATGGGTTGCCTCTGTGTCATGGCTATGTCCAGAGCCTTGGTGTGCGGTGGACCACAGCATCTCAGTTCCAGTGAGCACACTGAGCAGTGTTCACACAATGAC